ACGGACTCTTCATGGAAAACAAGGGCGACGTTGGCATCAACGAGCCGAAATAACCAGGCGAAACTGCTCCAGAAGTTACATTCGCGAAATCGAGCTCGGTAAGCGATGTGGTAACTCTTGGCTTTCGCCTGGAAGCAGCCTTGATCCACGGATGCGTGACAACCTCCGCCATGGAAATCCGCTCCTCGGGATTCACGGACAGCATCGCGCGAATCAGATCCTTTGCTTCCCCCGACACCGCGGACCAGGCTCCGCGCGACATGTCCACGTTTCCGCGAATAATCTGGCGAGTCAGTTGCCGCTCACCGTTGCCTTGAAACGGCATGGAGCAGGAGAGCATTCCGTAGAGTAACACGCCGAGCGACCATACGTCTGCTTTCATGTCGTATTCCTGACCGAGAATCACTTCAGGAGCTTCATACGGCCGGCTGCCGGCTGTTCCGACGGTTTTCTCTCCCGGAGCCAGGCGAACCGCCAGGCCGAAATCAGCGAGCTTCGCGAGAACGCGGGTGTCTGACGCTGTACCAGGCTGTTTCGGTAACGATGGTGAAGGTAAGGACGTGGAATAGTAGTACTGAGGAACGGAGGAGTTGAGAGGGTTGGAGAGGAGAACGTTTTCGAGCTTGATATCGCGATGCACCACCCCGTTCCGGTGACAATAGAGGACGGCGTGAGCCAACTGACGGAAAAGCAGAACAGCTTTATTCTCCGGCAATCCCGAGGATATACCAGATCGTTGCTTGCTGCTGTTGCTGGTGACGTAAGTAAAGAGATCTCCGACGTCACAAAACTCCATCATGAGATAGATGGCTTCGTCGTCTTCAAAGACGTACTTATGCTCAATAATGTTGGGATGCTTTCCCACCATGGAATCCAGAAGCGCGACCTCCTGCCGTAAAAAGTGCTGATGCAGAAGCGAGTCCTTAAGAGACACTTTAAGGACCTTCTTACACGCGTACTGCTCGCCGGTTCGCCCATCCTCGCACAACCACACCGTACCGAACCGGCCTTCACCGATGACCTTGACGAACTTAAGAGTACTCCACGGCGCTTCGGTTGGTCGCCGGAGAAACGAAGCTGACGGGTCCATTGAAAAGGACTGACGTAAAGCTGTCAGCCGAAGGACAGGAACGGAAACCTAGGGAAGAAACGGAAAGCGGACAGCGGGGAAATGCCTGACTTACGGACAACTGGCATGCTGATTCTAAATCTCCTTGTTCAGTCTGAGCTGAAGCTATCAGCTGAAAGAATAAATAGTATCTAAAGCCTAAGCAGGGCCGTTCGCAGGGCTGTCTTAGCGTCATTACTGTAACACTGCTCTCGTCTGGCTGTAGTCTACTTATTACGGAAACCAATAAATAAAAAGCAGCAAAATCAAGCGACTCCCGAAATTTCGAAGAACGAGAACCAGTGAATATGAAGTTTGATAAGTGGCAGCCAATGAAGTGGATGGATGAGATATGTGGAGCGTGTAGGTGCGGAAAATCTGGATGTTGAGGTCAGATGGAAAAGACGGCGGGAGGAGAAGCAGAGTTCTGATGTCAAGGGCAAGGACGACAACAGTGAAACGAAACGTCACCCTCACCAAGATGTGGAAGGGAAGACGGTGGTGGAACGAAAGATGGTGGTGGAGTGGAGAGGAGAGGCTGGAGGTGGTGTGGTCTGACTGTATGGTGTGGTGTGGTGTGGTCTGTGTGGTGCACCGTGCAAGCAAAGAATGATCCGCATGGGGATCTAGACGTTGGTTTGTGTGGTGCTGTGCAAGCGAATGGTGATCCACATGGGATGTCGTTCCGAAATTTCGAGGGTCGAAAGTGAGGTATCCCATTGGAGGTTCCCCTCAAGAACCCAAATGGAAACATGTGGGGAGGAACAACGACAGTTGCGAAGTTCGTCAGGAAATCGTACACTGTCAGGAATCTGAATCGACGAATCACAGGACGCAGATATATTCGAGGTCACCCCAAAGAAACCCCTCTCTGCTTCGAAATGAGGTTACCCCCTACTGTTTCGACAATGGTGGATGCCTATGGTGGTGGGGAGAATGTATACTATTCGTGAGCGCTCGCTTGGTCGGGGATATGGGGAGGAGTTCGGGGTGGTGGTGTGGTGGAATGGAGCTGTTCCCGTGCCCGGGTTGGTGCACCTTTGCACGAAAGCGTACAGTAGTTCGTGTGCGCCTGTTCTGGGAGGAATGACTAGCAACTTATCCGAGAAGTGGGAGCGTGGATAATGCGGGGAGAGCATGCGCTGGTGGTTGGGGTGGTGTTTCAGATCAGACGAGTGCAAGAACGGAGCAGGTATGGTATTGAGCTGGCGTCAGGCTGGGCTCACGACGGCAGGATAAAGTGTTTCGTTTATCATTTGGGTTTTTTTTTAGCGTGGGTACTGGAAAGACTTGGGGTTCAATATGAAAAACAGGGTAGTCCCAAACGATTTTCTGCGACCGTACCAGGGCCCCAATCAAAATTCACACGTGCAGCAAAGCAAACTCGTGTGCACTCCTCAGCAACTGATCCCTTGGAAGCTGGAGATGGTACTGTTTTGAACTGTGTGAGGCGCATTGTGCCGGACCTGAAAACAAACTGTGACGGCAAGACGGCCAGATGCGAGCCGAGAACGAGTTTGTATTTTGTGCAAGGGAAACCCTAGAGGTTGCTCCCAGACCTCCTTGAAGAAAATTGCTGCTCAAAAATTTTCCTGCCAACAATGAGGGTACGTTCTTAGCCTGTGTCAGGCAGGCTGACATGAAGCTGTGAAGGGTTTGGATTTGATTGATGATGACGTGGAACGATCGGAGCTGTCGATAGCCTTGTGTCAGGAAACTTGACACGAGCTAAGAAAGGACCCTGATAGTGCATGAACCCATAAAGTGCGGAACCAACCACACGGGGAATTAAAGAGGCAATTTGCACGTTGTAACGAACAAAAATATCTGCGCAATGATGCTAAAGAGCCGTAGAAGTACAAAAGTCGTAGCTAAGATAAGACAATCACCATGGGACTTTGTGGTTCTACAGCTAATGACAGCTGTAAGTCAGACAAAGGGGTAGGGGCAGAATGGAATGTTCGCTGCACAGAGCTTCGAGCGGATCTGTTCAATGTTTCTGGTCATCCAATCGCAGATTCCCTTTATGCGGTCACTTTTGGCCGAGCCACAAGGCCATACTCTTTACAATATTAATACACTTGCAGTCATGGGAAATATACAGCTAACACTTACATCAGTTTCCATTTCCCATTATGAACTCTTCAAACGAGCTGATGGTAACTTTGTCCACCGGGATAATATGACCACAAGCATGGCGTAACACCATCCGAGAATCAGCATCAAATAGTGAAACCAATTTCTCACTCCGCTGCCGGGTTACTTGACGATCGTGACTTTGAAAGTTACCGGTAGGCACGTGAGTAACAGCTGCATCGTTGCTGTAATGTTTGCTTGCTCCAAAGACGTGTAACGACGGCATCTTTACCACCTCGCCGCTCTCCATCAACTCATGCATAAACGGATGGGCTTCTCTTGCTGACAAATACCCAGAGCAAAGGATTGCGAACCGTATGCCGCCCCACACTTTCCGTTTCCCCACTGCTTCTCCACACCTCACACTCTCCTCGTCTTCCTCACTCTCCTCTGTTCTCTGCTCCCTCTTCCCTCCATCCACTTTCCCCTCCTTCCAACTGGACGATGCACCGGCTTCTAAACTTTCCTTACTAGCCAAAGTATGAGCCTCCTCCCTTTCTTTACTAGCCAAAGCCGCAACACCAGCAGCCACGGCAGCACCTTGGGAGAATCCCAACACCCCGTCAAACGGACCCAGCTCAGATACCACCTCCCTCAGATAGGACAAACTCGCCGCCCGGCCGTACACCTGCCCGTCCAACTGGTCAGGACGGAACCCGCCAGCTGGCGGCACGCGTGGCGCTCCTGTGCAAGCTAGCAGTGACTCCGCAACACCTGGTGCGCTCGTGACACCTGGCGCCTCGTCGGGATTGCCAGCTGGCGCGTTGGCACCTCGTGCTTGTAACGAGGGTGCTTGAAGCGCAAGATCAATGGGCCCTATGAGCCACGCGAACCTGGTTCGAGGGGGCCGAGCTGGAGAGTCCGCACATGCTGGTTCTGGTGATGGTGATGGTGAAGGCGAACCTGCGACACTCTCCTGCTGGTTACCACATGGTAATGGTGATGATGATGAAGAAGATGGTGATGGTGATGGTGATGATTCTGTTGAAGGTTCATCTGGAAAAACACCTGAAGAGGTGACCACGTGTGCGAGCGCATGGGGCGCGTCAATAAAGACAAACTCCGCCACCGACTTGAGCTTCCGCTGCAGCGCCCGTGTGCGGCCGGAAAAGGACGAGGCGTTTTGTCTGAATCCGTGAAGACAAAGTATGCGAGCCTTTGATCTTGGACTCTCGCTCCTGCTGTTGCTGCTGTTGCTGCTGCTGCTGTCGTTGCCGCTGTTGCTGGTGGTACTGGTGGTTGTGGCAGAGTTGGTGGCGGCCATGCTTGTAGCGGTTGCTGTTGGGGGAACTGCAGTTGTAGTGGGAGCACCAGTGCCAAAAGTGGTGCCAGTGGTGGGAGTGGTGGCAGTGGTGGCAACAGCAGTGGCAACAGCAGTGGTGGCAGCTGCTGTGGGAGTCGCATCAGCAATGCCACCAGTACACTCAGGCTGCTTCCACAGCATAGTCACGCCACAATATGAAGTGGGAGTAGCACACATGTAGACCCCCAGCGGTGCATGCCAGAGGTACACACACGCCAGCCAGACCGAAATGCAAGAAGGGATGCATGTCAACGCTCAAGTTGTGCAGAGGCGAGGGTTTAGGGGGCAGTAACATAGGCAGCAGTAACATAGGCAGCAGAAAACGCCAAAAGGGCTGAGAGGTTTTTAAGGTGGCTTAAAATCTCTGTGTCAATGGCCTAAAAATCGAAAAGATCTTGAAGCGTCAGAACAAACCGACCCAGCAAGGGCCTTTCAAATAGCCCTTGAAACGACTCAAAGGCCACCCACCAGGGTTACAGGCGAAGCAGAAAGGTGCTGCGGTAACTGCGGTTGCAGCAGCTGCTGATGTGTCTGCTGCTGTGTCTGCTGCTGCTGCTGCTGCTGTTTTGGCTGCTCTTGCTCCTGCTTCTTCTCTTGCCCCTGCCCCTGTGAATGGTCCTTGTGCCTCTGGCGATGCTGCTGCTGCACTCTTTCTGTATCTCCTGCCTTCGCCACTTCCGTTGTGCATCCTCCCTTCTGGCAGATCTCACACATGACGTCAGGCTGGAAAGATTGTGAGGGGGGAAAGGATAAAGGAGTCGGAATGGCAATTAGGAGGAAACAGTGAGAGGAAAACGCGATATAAGAAGATGATCTTCCCAACCTTCTCCCTGCTGTCTTCCTTTCCGTTGTGCAGCCTCCCTTCTGGCAGATCTCACACATGACGTGAGACTGGAAAGAGTGGGGAGTGGAGGGTGGGAGGGATAAAGGAGAAAGAAGAATAAAAGGAGGGGATGGAACACGTTCTCACCTGTGTCTCGGCACACACAGGGCAGGCGAGCAGCAGCATGCGGCACGCAGCACAGCGGTTCCTCCCACTGTAGTCGTCAAACGGATTTTGTGCACAGGTAGTATGCGAGCCACACTACACATACACAACCATACCCATTCCTACCCATTCCTACCCATTCGTACTCATTCTCACCTGTGTCTCAGCACAAACAAACAGGGCACACGAGCAGCAGCATGCGAGCCACACTACACATACACAACCATACCCATTCCTACCCATTCGTACCCAATCTCACCTGTTTCTCAGCACAAGCAGGGCAGACCAGCAGCAGCATGCGGCAGGCAGAGCAGCGGTTCCTCCCGCTGTAGTCGTCAAACGGCTTCATGCACAGACAGCATGCTCCTATGGTTGCTTGCTGCGGTGCTGCTGGTGGCACAGCCAGGCTGGGAGTTAAGGAGAGAGTGAGGAAAGGCAGGGGGGAGAATGCTGATGACACAGGCAGTGGTTCCTCCCACTGTAGTCGTTGAAAGGCTTGGTGCACAGACAGCACGCTCCTATGGTTGCTTGCTGCGGCTCTGCTGGCGGTACTGCCAGGCTGGGAGGAGAGAGGGAGCGAGGGAGGTGGGGACAGAGGGGGTTAAGGAGAGTAAGAAGTGGGGAGTGAGAAGCAGGGGGAAGACTGCTCTGCTGCTCTCACAAGCAGCACGTGCCTATGGTTGCTTGCTGCGGTGCTGCTGATGGTACTGCTAGTCTGGGAGGGGCGATGGAGAGAGTGGTGGGGGGTAAGTCGGAAATGAAGGAAAGGCAGGGGCGAGTCTGCTGATGACGTAGGCAGTGGTTCCTCCTACTTTAGTCGTCAAACGGCTGTGTGCACATGCAGCACGTGCCTATGGTTGCTTGCTGCGGCGCTGCTGGTGGCACAGCCAGGCTGGTAATTAGGGGAAGAGTGAGGAAACGCAGGAGGGACACTGCTGATGACAAAGGCAGTGGTTCCTTCTACTGTAGTCGTCATACGGCTGTGTGCACAAGCAGCAGGTGCCTATGGTTGCTTGCTGCGGTGCTGCTGGTGGCACAGCCAGGCTGGGGATTAGGGGAAGAGAGAGGAAACGCAGGAGGGACACTGCTGATGACAAAGGCAGTGGTTCCTTCTACTGTAGTCGTCATACGGCTGTGAGCACAAGCAGCACGTGCCTATGGTTGCTTGCTGCGGCGCTGCTGGTGGCACAGCCAGGCTGGAAAGGGGAGAGGGTGGTGGGGGATGAGTGGGAGTTGAAGGAAGGACTGGGAGAGTGGTGGGGGGGGACTGCTGATGGCACAGGAAGCATGCGCCTATGGCTGCTTGCTGCGGCGCTGCTGGTGGCACAGCCAGGCTGGGAGAGAGGGAGTGGGGCGATGGGGTGGGTGGTGGAGAGATCGACTGAGCTGATACCACTTTGACGGGAAATTAATAAAAAAAAAATCCCTGAGATTGACTGAGCAAAAAAAGAATATGCTCCATGCCTTACCGGTGGTCAAAGACAAAGTTTTTTCCTCGGAAAAACCCGCCATCTGGGAACGCCTCGAGATAACGGACGATGCCTCCTGACAGCTGCACACATGGGAGAGGGCGAGAGGAGCAAGCAAGGGATGGTATGGCAGGACGGACCAACCGTCCATCTGGGAACGCCTTGAGATAGCGCACAATGCCCCCTGACAGCTGCACACACAGACAAGGGCAAGTGAGAACGCATGGCAAGGCATGGGATGGCATGGCATGGCATGGCATGGCATGCCGTAGCATGGAAAGGCCTCGAGATAATGCACAATGCCCCCTGACAGCTGCACACATGATAGGCCGTGGCTGACATGGGCACAGCACCGCACTGCACAGAACAGCACAGCAATGCACCACGTCCAGGAATCCGGGTCCCTTGGATTGCAGGTAGGCTGTGGCTGACTCGCAGCGAACCCCTCCAGTGCAGTACCCGCACAGCATTGCACCACACATCACCGCACACAACCGAGCACACACACCTGCACCACGTCTTGAAATCCAGGCCCCTTGGATCGCAGATAGGCCGTGGCTGACAATTGTTGTTGAGGCACCTTAAGATCACGAGCAAGAGCACAGCACCGCACTGCACATCACAGCACACACCTGCACCACGTCCTGGAAGCCGGGTCCCTTGAATCGCGGATAGGCCGTGGCTGACTCACAGCGAACCTCTTCAGTGCAACCCGCACAGCACCACACAGCACCACACAGCACCGCACAGCAGCGCACACAACCGAGCATACACACACACCTGCACCACGTCTTGGAAGCCGGGCCCCTTGGATCGAAGGTAAGCTGTGGCTGACTCACAGCGCACCCCTCCCGTGCAGTACCTGCTGATGGGATGGGGGGAGGGGGATGGGGAAAACGCTTAACTAAACACCAGTTAACTTACGTAAGCACAGTCTTGTCTCCCAGCTTGCAGCACAAACCGCCATAAGCTTGCACTTGATTGACTTGACAGATTTCGCTCAAGTTGCTTACTCATCTAGAGAACACCTGAAGCACTTACATAAGCACCATTTTGTCCTTCATCTTAGACGTGGCACTTACATAAGCACCGTTTTGTCCTTAAATTCCTCCTCGTGCCTGTCCACCCATGCCGGCAGATCGCTGAACTGGCGAATGCAGGGGTCGATGAATGTCACACCTGAGAGTGGTGGTAATAGGGTTCAAAGGTGTGCAGTGCGGTGCAGTGTAAGAGATAGTGGCAGAGAAAAGGGGAGTGTTCCTCCTCGTGCCTGTCCACCCATGCAGGCAGATCGCTGAACTATCAAATGCAGGGATAGATACTTGCAGAACCTTGAGAAACCAGGCTACTGAGGTAAAACAGCCTTGATTGAGACTTGAACAGCAAGGAAAGGGGTGCAACTATGGATTGTCATAATTCGAAACATCTCAAATATAGAAATTGAAAAATCTTATAAGTGATGCCAGATAGATGGACACAGCAAGGGAGGAGACTGGCAGCACCTTTGGGCGGCACGAATCGTCCGATGCGCGTCTCGTAGACGTTCCTGGTGTCCAATACCACCATGCCACGTGGCACACGCCCATCATCCTCCTGTCCCTCCTCCTTCTCCTCATCACACCCTCTTCTTGATTTCTCCTCTCCCTCCACTCCCCCATTTTCCTGCACCCCCCATTGCCTCCCGTCCTTCTCAGATCCCTCCTCCCTTTCTTCCTTCGTCTTCTCCTCCCGTTTCTGCTCCCCTCTCTGTCCCCGCAGCATGAGTGTATGAAACGCCTCTGCAGACACGTGGTCCGCTGTGAGTGAGAGGTCCACGGGGCATAGGGTTACCAGCTCCTGTCAGTGCCATGTAACCCAAGGACAGGGAGAGGGGAAGAAGGAATAAAGGAAGGCTCCGCAGCATGAGTTTGTGAAACGCCTCTGCAGACACATGGTCGGCTGTGAGGGAGAGGTCCACCGGGCATAGGGTTACCAGCTCCTGAGATGTAATCATGCAACCAGGTGAGAGGGCAGGGGCAGAGGGAAGAGTGGGGAGGAGGGAAGGATTGGGGTTGCGGTGAGTGAGAGGTCCATCCACCAGGCATAGGGTTACCAGTTCCTGAGATGTAACCAGTCCAAACCCTGAACCCTGGATCCTTTACCCTGGTATGCTCACCACCATAGCTTTACTATCCACACTGAGACGACTCTTGAGTCCAAACCAAACGTCCAACCAACTAAACCCTGAACCCTAGAACCTGTACCCTGGTATGCTCACCATACTTTGACTATGCAAACAGAGAGGGCGTGCACGTTGCATTCGCGTGCTATCCTGGGGTCCGGCGGCCAATCACAGCGGGAAGCCCACCAGGGTCAATCCCCAAACCTCTTAACCCCAAAACCCTCGTGGTATCTTTACCTTGACGAACCGCACAGAGAGTGCGTGCACGTTGCACTCCCGCGCTATCCTGGGGTCAGGCGGCTAATCACAGCGCTCCAGCTTGAACACCCAGCACTCAACACACTTAAGCACTAAATTCGAAAATCTGAATCTTTGCTTTCTTTGTACCTTGGTATCCTCACCATACCTTCACTATTCGTACGGAGAGAGCATGCACGTTGCATCCCCGCGCTACCCTGGAGTCGGGTGGCCAATCCTAAATGAGAAGCCACTATCAAAACCCCAAACGTGACACCCTGGTATCCGTACCTTGACTATCCGCACTGAAAGTGCGTGCACGTTGCACTCCCGTGCTATCCTCGGATCAGGCGGCCAATCACAGCGCTCCAGCTTGAAGTCGGTGCGGGCGAACCAATCAGAAGGGTGGCTGGAGAGGGCGGCCATGTGATTATGAAGAGCGGACATGCGGCCCACTACCTGGCAGCCAGTGATTATAATGAGAGTGGGTGGGTGGGTGGGTAGGGTGGGTGGGGTAGATTAGCTTGGGAGTCAGATTCGCCGAACCACTTGCAGGGTGGTGGGAGAGAGAGGCGATGTGACTGTGTAGGGCGGACATGCGACCCACTACCTGCCAGCCAGTGATTATAACAAAAGTGGATTGGGGGGAAGTGGGGGGAGGTTAGCTTGAAGTTGGTGTGGGCGAACAAATTAGCAGGGTGGTGGGAGAGGGCGGCAAGGCAATGTGATTATGAAGAGCGGGCACACGACCCACCACCTGCCAGTCAGTGATTATAACGAGGGGGGATTGGGGGGGGGGGACTGGGGAGAGTGGGTGAGTGGGGTGGAATGGTGGGGGGAGATTAGTTTGAGAGACAGATTAAGCAGACCACTTGCTGGGGTGGTGGGAGAGTGTGGCGATGTGACTATGGAGAGCGGACATGCGACCCACCACCTGCCAGAACGTGATCATAACGAAGGTGAAAGGGTGGTTGAGTTGGGGTGGTGGGGGGGGATTAGATTAGATTGAGAGACAGATTGGGCAACCCACTTCACGGGGTGGTGGGAGAGGGAAGCGATGTGACTGTGGAGGGCGGACGTGCGACTCACTACCTGCGAGTGATCATAACGGGGGTGGGTGGGTTGGTGGAAGGTGACGGACTTCCCATCTGACTCACTCCCTGACCGATTCCTTGTGAGCGGGGGAAGTTACGGGTGATCTTAAGGACGTTGTGCGAGAGAGACAACAGACAGTGTGACTGTAGAAGGTACCGGCTACCACGTCAGCGAGCCTTCTAAAATTCGTCTAAAGACGACTAGAATTCGTCGTCTAATCGCAGTACTACTAACCGTGACGTTAAAGCCTTGCTTGGACACGCGGACGCGGCCCAAGAGGCCTTGCTCCTCGCAGATACGTCGCATCCAATCAGCTGCTGCCACGTCATCCGGAACATCCACGTACTGATAGTACAGCAGCACGCCGTAGCCCTCCGTTTCTGTACTGTTCAATGGTTTTGTACCCGTTATAGTCTCACTCGACGCCATTGCACACACCACAGACTTGAAGCGCTGTAAGCGCGCTCTTTATGTCGAGCCGTAAAAGAGACAAGAGAATGCTGGTAAAACTGACTCCGCGGATTAAAGTTGTTTGTATCGAAGCCTACTAGCACGGAAGTGCATACAATTGAATACGAATAAGGCACGGTGAGAGGTAGTAGCCTAGTAGGCAAGACCCTTCAGCTCACATGCCACGTGTGTAAATCGGAGCCTTGGAGTTGCCGCGGCTTGGTTATGGTGTTGGGAGGAGTCGGAGAGTAATGTAAGCATTTCATGCTATCGCGAAAGTTTCGGGTTTACAGTTCGGTACAAAAAGGTTAAACACGATGTTTCTTTTGTTTCAGTAGGATATGTATTCCACCGCTTTGAACCACGTTATAATCGATCCATTCATGCAGCTAATGAAACATGGGTGCAGAAAGGTGTTGTGAAAGATGTTTTTCCATCATAGAGAATTTTGCTTCATGATTCAAACTATGTATGGATCGTACGTGAAAGTCTGAAATACCGCTACTCGATCCACATTGGTGCGGTGCGGAGTCCGCCGTAGGTCGCCCTAGGTCGAGACGCTAAAGACCTGCTGGCCGATTTAGCTCCTAATTCTGGTGAATTCGACGAGCGGTGGGCCGAGTCGTTCCGTTAGGGTTGCCGCTTTCCACGCAAGTCGCGTTACTTCCACCCCCCTGCTTCACGCATATTTTCTACTCTATTTTGTGTGAGCAATTCAATTGTAGTGTATTTTTTAGTAGTGTATTTTACTGATACTACTAGTAGTAGTAAGCCATGCAGCTGCGGCTGCCACTGGAGTGTAGCTCGTCGCTTGGGGAACTCTCTTCTGGTCGCCTCTCTGCTGGTCGCCTCTCTGCTGGTCGCCTTTCTGCTGGTCGTTTCCCTCTCTCCCCCTTCCCACCGCACCAACGCCAACGCCCTAGCGTCCCCGTTAGTAGACGACCCGTTACAAGAGTGTGCAGTGCGATTCGGGAGCCGGATGCGGAGCGATGGTCGGGGATAGTCCTGGAGGAGGAAGAAGACTATAACGAGAGAAGCTACAGTGCGTCGGACTACAGTAACAGTAACGGTAACAGATGGAGCAACAGCAGAGGCAGCAGCAACAGCAGAAGCAGCGGTAGAAACAGATTTGATTGGTCCTGGATACCTAGATTTGGCAGAGGTAGCAAGGGGGAAAGAAGAGAAGAAAGAGGAGGAAGAGGAGGTGATTGGGGAGGAAGAGGAGGAGGAGGAGGAGGTGGATGGGGTGGAGGAGGAAGAGGAGGAGGAGGGGGAAGAAGAGGAGGAAGGGGGGGAGGTACTATTGGTGGAGGTGTTGACTCTGATTGGCTGGCACCTTCAACGGAAAACGCTCTAGCTGTGATTCTAGCGGGGGTGTTTGCCTGTGCGCTGCTTTACCTCTCCTGGCAGGTCCTTGTCTCCACTGTAGTCATCCTCGTTGCTTGCTTCAAGTACGTCTTCCTAGCGGTTGCTATTATAGCCGCCCTGCTCCTTGCCCTGTAGGCTGACACATTTTGCCATGCTGCAGACACTTTCAATATGTGAAGTGACATTTAGTTCAAGTGCTCTTGGGGCTAAGCCAAACATTCGAAACACTTGTCTGTAATCTTCATTTCTGAACTACCGTGCCAGTAATGAATGGTGCAATATGGAAACTGCTTTCGAGTTACCCATAGAAGCGGATTTCCTACCAGTATGGCCGGGACTGCCAGGGAGCGCCACCCCTTGGCAGCAGCCATGCCTGCTGCTGTTGTTGGGCCTCCCACGTTGGCATTGGAGGCGATGAGAAGGTGGTTAAGGGGGAGAGAGAAAGCGAGGAGGAGGAGGTCGAGGAGGGAGAGGAGAGGAGAGACAGCACTACTTAAGCACTGCTTTCAAGTGCATGGGCTTTAACACGGTATGGCCCAGGACGACTGACAGGAAAGTAGCTGTGGTGTATCCAAATATCCCCACCAGTATAGCCGGGACCGTGAGGGAGCGCCAGCCTTTTGCAGCAGCCATGCCTGCTGCCGTTGTTGGGCCTCCCACGTTGGCGTTGGAGGCAATAAGAAGGTCTTTGCGCGGGAGAGAGAGGAGGTGACCAAGGGAGAGGGTGAAGAGGAGGTGGAGGGAGAGTTGGAGGAGGATGAAGAGGAAGAGGGAGGGCGCGGAAGAGAGGATGGCGGCGAGATTGCCGTTGGCTCCTATGGAAGCAAAGAATACCTGATGAAGGGAGGGAGATTTTGGAAAGAAATGAGGCATGCTTGTTGCCGCAAGAGCGAGCACAAGCGCTGTCACTACATTACACCAGCGAAACACCATCCAGTCTCACTTTGCAAGGTGCCTTGAGAATAGTTTCATTCTCACCCACCAGCAAAAGTTCCAGAACCAGAACTTACTCTTTTTTTTTTTTTTTTTTTTTTTGCAAAACACCACTCGGTTTCACCTGCAGCATGAGAGTAGCCATCTTCTCCCCGGGGATCACCAATGGGCAGCGATGCTCGGCGTGACTGTAGCAAAACAATATCTTCAAGACCAGAATACCATGTATAGTAATAGTCTCACCTGCAGCATGAGAGTAGCCATCTTCTCCCCGGGGACCACCAATGGGCAGCGATGCTCGGCGTGACTGTAGCAAAACAATATCTTCAAGACCAGAATACCATGTATAGTAATAGTCTCACCTGCAGCATGAGAGTAGCCATCTTCTCCCCAGGGACCACCAATGGGCAGCGATGCTCGGCGTGACTGTAGCAAAACAATATCTTCAAGACCAGAATACCATGTATAGTAATAGTCTCACCTGCAGCATGAGAGTAGCCATCTTCTCCCCGGGGACCACCAATGGGCAGCGATGCTCGGCGTGACTGTAGCAAAACAATGTCATCAAGACCAGAATACCATGTATAGTAATAGTCTCACCTGCAGCATGAGAGTAGCCATCTTCTCCCCGGGGACCACCAGCGGGGCAGCAAGGTGGGGTGTGACTGTAGCGAAGGCCAGCACAAGCGCCGTGACACAAGGGATGGTGCCTCCAACGAAGGAGAGTTTCTTTGCTACAGATGAGCCGAGCCAGCAGAGAGAGGCTGCGAGGGCGAGGGCGGTGGCTGCTGCTGATACATCAAATGAAGGCTGCAGATGGGTAGGGGACACAACGGGGGGCAGGAAAGAGTTCAACTTTTGAGACGTCTCAAAAGTCTGCTGCTGATACATCAACTGAAGGCTGCAGATGGATAGGGGACACAATGGGGGGTAGGAATTCGTTTTTTTGCTAGAGTCGAGCCGAGCCAGCAGAGGGAGGCTGCGAGGGCGAGGGAGGTGGCTGCTGCTGATACATCAAACGAGGGCTGCAGATGGGTGGGGGACACAACGGGGGGCAGGAAAGAGTTCAACTTTTGAGATGGGTAGGGGACAGACGTCTCAAAAGCCTGCTGCTGATACATCAAACGAGGGCTGCAGATGGGTGGGGGACACAACGGGGGGCAGGAAAGAGAGGCGCCGGGGGCACAGAGGGTGGAGGAGGAGGAGAGAGGGACGGAACTTCAGGGAACGAGGGCGAGGGTGGTGGCTGCTGCTGACACGTCAAATGATGGCTGCGTGGATGGGTAGGGGACACGACGGGGGGCAGGAAAGAGTTCAACTTTTGAGACGTCTCAGCATCAGCATCGCTATCAGCATCAGCATCAGCATCAGCATCAGCATCGCTATCAGCATCAGCATCAGCATCATCAGCATCAGCATCAGCATCAGCATCGCTATCAGCATCGCTATCAGCATCAGCATCAGCATCATCAGCATCAGCATCAGCAGCAGCATCAGCATCAGCATCAGCATCAGCATCAGCATCAGCATCAGCATCAACATCAGCATCAGCAGCTCCAGCGACTCCACTGGGTTCAGCTGGAATCTTGGCAGCGAGCGGGAAGAGAGAGGTGAAGTGGAGGGCACACAGCAGGTTGTCGGCTGCCAGAGCTGCCATGCCAGGGCTGCTGCTCTAGAGGCGCCCTAAAGGCCCCCTCTGAGAACCATTCTCAAGGTACCCACCTGTGAGTCTGAAAGCTGCTCTAAACCCTGATAACCATTCTCAAGGTACCCACCTGTGAGTCTGAAAGCTGCGTTTGAGCAACAGCAGCACCGGCACCGCTGCTCTCCCCCTCCTTCTCTGCAGGAATCTTAGCAGCGAGGGCGAAGAGGGTTGTGAAGTGGAGCGCGCACAGCAGGTTGTCGGCTGCCAGAGCTGCTGTCACCACCGATGGTGATGCTTGTAGCGCCTCTGTCACTGCCACGTAGTTCACGGCTGGGGAATGGGAGGGAAGGGGGCGAAGCGGGCAAGTGGAGAAGTGAGGATGGGGTGAAGTGAAGTGGAGCGCGCACAGCAGGTTGTGGGCTGCCAGAGCTGCCGTGACCACCGATGGTGATGCCTGTAGCGCCTCTGTCACTGCCACATAGTTCACAGCTGGGAAGAGGGGAGAGAGGCGGGATGGAGGGGGGGTGCGGAAAGGTGAATCACATGCACCAGCAGCTGCTGTCACCACCGATGGTGATGCCTGTAGCGCCTCTGTCACTGCCACATAGTTGACCGCCGGGGAGAGGGGAGTAAGGAAGTGCGAAAGTGGGAAAGAGGGGAATGGGGATGGGGTGAGCGAAGTGAGGATGGGCGCACACAGCAGGTTGTCGGCTGCCAGAGCTGCTGTCACCACCGATGGTGATGCTTGTAATGCCTCTGTCACTGCCACGTAGTTCACGGCTGGGAATATGGGAGGGGGAGGGGCAGGGAAGAAAGGGGGGCGGGGGTAGTTATGAAACGCCAGCAGCAGCACCATTACCACCCATAACACCCCATAACCCCCCAATAAACCCCCATAAACCCCCATACCCCCCCATAGCCCCCATACCCCCCCATTCCCCACCATCTCCCACCGCCCACTCACCCCCCCCTATGTGTCGCCCCATCAGTGCCGCCGCTATCTTCCATACCGCCTGTGCATTCCACCCATGCCCCCCATACCCCCCTTACCCTCCCCCCTACTACCTCCCCCCGTTGCACTCATTGCACTCATCCCCCCCTATGTGCCGCCCCATCAGTGCAGCCGCTATCCTCCATACCGCCTGTGCATTCCACCCGCCGCTATCTTCCAACCCCCAATGAATTTTCCCTCATGCCTCCCATACCCCCCCCCCCCCCCCACCTCCCCCTTCCCCTGCGCACTCACCCCCCCCCTATGTGCCGCCCCATCAGTGCAGCCGCTATCTTCCAACCGTCGCCGCCCAGCGACCGGAGCGGCAGGGCGGCAAAGGCCACCAGGGTGCCAAAGATAGTGCCGACTGCATGTGGGGGAAGGGTGGGGGAGAGTGGGGAATGGGGAGGAGGGGAAGTGAGAAAAGGAGGGGAGAGAGGCTGGAGTGGGAAAGGAGGAGCGGGGAAAGGGCTGACTGCGTGCGGGGAAGGGGACGGTGGGGGGAAGAGAGGGGGGGGAGAGGGTGAAAGGGAGGAGAGAGAGGTTGGATTGGGAAGAGGTGAAGAAAGAAAGGCCAGCAGGGAGCCAAAGATGGTTCCGAATGTATGTGGGAGGAGCGAGGGAGAAGAGAGGAGAGAAGGTGGGGAAAGGGGAAGGAGAGGGGTGGGGGGTGGTACTGCCGGGAAAGGCAGCTATTGTTCTATAGATAGTGTTGACGGCAGGGGGAGAAGGGGAGAGAGGGAGGAGGGGAGGAAGAGAGGGGGAGGGGGGAAAAAGGAGGAGGAGGGTGCAGTGTAGGGTTGTGCTAGGGTGTTGGGCATGTATAGTCAGGTGGGGAATGAGGGAGGTGGGGAATGAGGGAGGTGGGGAATGAGGGAGGTGGGGAATGGGGAATCAGGTGGATATGTATAGTCAGGCGGGGAAGAGGAGGAGGACGGTGTAGGGTTGTGCTAGGGTATTGGGTATTGGCATGTATAGTCAGGTGGGGAATGAGGGAGGGCGGAGGAGGATTCACGGGAGCACTTATTAAGAGCAGCGCTTATAAGCACTCACGCACCTGAGCCCACACAAAACGCCAGAAGGAGCCGCCCAGTGTCTTTGATAACCCTCCTTAGGTCGGCGGCATAGAGCAGCAGAGGAACGGCGAGAGGCAGCAGGAAGCGATTAACTACCGCATAGGCAGGCGCGTCCGAGGGAATTAGGCCTAAGTTGCTCGCGGCTAGGCCTATCAACGTGGAGATTAACGGGCCGCTTAAAGCGCGTCCTATATCGGTATGGCGCTCCGACCAGAAGCCGATCGCTGCGGCTACTAGCAGCGCGGCCCACACCCCCCACGTGTCGGTTGCTGAGATCAACGGTCGCGATGGCAGCGCGAAGGGAATGGACGGCTGAGATGCGGCGATGGATGCTACCAGACACTGGTTGGGAACGGACGGTGGAGATTGACTGGAGATTAACGGTTCAGATACAGAGATGGAGGCCGCCAACGGGGGGAGGCTGCATCTGAGGGAAGGCGGACTCGAATATAATTTTCGTGCCAACGTGCGAAAATAGCTTTCCCGTCGCCAATTTCGCGAAGGTCGCAGGACGCAGGGAGGTTGGCGTGCGTGAAGCTGACACGTCGGATCGCCCGCCCGATGACACGTGGCACTCTCGGAACGACGCGATTGCCACGTCGGATGGAAACTAACGCAGCCGCTTCGATAGGCCGACGGGAAGCTCCTCGACTTTGAGGCGGCGCCTCGACTCGGTGGGAGTGCGCAATTGGCGGCGCCGCCGCTGCAGCCCCGTGCTCGAAATTCCTGCGCGACATGACATTGATCTCGGTTGCTGGCACAATTTGTCGTTAATGCGACGCGGTCAGCAACGACTACGGATTTCATTGCTACAGGTAAGGTATCAGGTGCGGCGCCGAATGCGGCGATGGAAGCGGGGAGCGGAGCGACCAAGTGTGGGTGGTGCTGCGGTAAATTATCCTTGGTGTATTGCGAAGGATATTATTGGCTGCGAAAGTTCTCGCGCATGTCGAGAGAAGCGTGTAACCCTTCGAGACCACAAGCATCCCTACCCAGATCAGTCACATATTCGTAGACATGAGCACCAAGAACTTCTCCAGTTTACCTTGTCAGTACTTCGACCAAGAAACAAGTGTAGCCCATTTGAGCTTATGATAAACTTTCTTGCAATAAAAGCTCTTTAAAATTCAGGTTTAGGGCTTATAACAAAACCAGGATTCCAGAACACACAGGCTGCAGTTTCTCAGCCCTACACTTGTTCTGTTAGCAGCTCAAATGCAAGCGAAAGATCACCGTTTGTTGCATTCAATGCTTCTTGAGCAACCGACTGCAGCAAAAGGATGGATAAAGATGAGAACAGGTACGATAAATTTAAGAGTTGAAACAAAGGTTTCAAACACCAAATTAGACACATAAAGTGTACCGCACATACCTGGTTAAAGCCCATATCGCACAACTGTCGCACAGATGGCGCTCTAATAGCACCATCATTGCCGCTGCCAGCACCATCGGCTACACCATGCAAGTGCTCATTGTGCTGGGGATGGTTGATCTGGCTTGGGGAATATGCCCAGCCGCTAGAGAGGACTGTTGCTCTGAGAAGGTGGGGGGAAGTAGGGAGAGAGGGAAGAAGGAAGGGAGCATGATAAGATTTATCAGAGTAACAAGGAGTGGGCAACTCCTAACAGCTGCTCACTGTGCCGGGGACGGCTGGTCTGGCTTGGGGAATGTCCCCATCTACTAGAGAGGACTGTTGCTCTGGTTGGGGGGGGAAGTGGGTTGATGTTTGAGAGGGAGGAGAGCATGATTGATTACTAAGATGACTCATAGGACAGTCTGCTGTGGTTGGCTGGTCTGGCTTGGGGAATATTCCCAGCCGCTAGAGAGGACTGTTGCTCTGAGAGAAAGGAGGACAGTGGGGCAAGGGAAGCGAGGGGGACGAGAGCATTGGTTGACTTTGAAGACGACTAACACGTCATTCAGCGGGGGATGGCTGGTCTGGCTTGGGGAATATTCCCAGCCACTAGAGAGGACTGTTGCTCTGGGGGGGAGGGGGGATGAGAGCGGGTCGGGACAAGGGCAATTGCCATACCCCTTTTCTTGTACCAACGCACCTTCCCAAAGCAGCAGCGGCAGCAGCAGCAGAAGCAGCAGCAGCAGCATTGGGCAGCGGGTAGTTGGGAGCATCTTCAGATGCAATTACCGCCACCCCAACGAATCCCTCCCCTTCTCTTGCTCCTGCAGCAGCTAAAGGTGGCCCCCCTGCTGCTGCCGAGCCTGCTAGGGTTCGACCCCGTCCAGGGAACCTCTGAAACGGAGACAAGGGTACAGTGAGGCACATGCACAAGCAGGAGGGGCAGATTGCATCCATGAGGTGGATGGAAGAGGCAGTGCCCCCCTGCTTCTGCTGCTGCCGAGCCTGCTAGGGTGTGGCCCCGTCCAGGGAACCTCTGCAAGAAAGAAAATCACAGACAGGGAGAGGGGCATGTAGCACATCTCTTTCCGCTGCTCGTCATGCGCTGAGAGAGGAGACAAACGAGGTGCGCCTCTGCTGCTGCTGCTGCCGAGCCTGCTAGGGTGTGGCCCCGTCCAATGCTGACCCCCGTCCAGGGAACCTCTGCAAGAAAGAAAAGCACAGACAGGGAGAGGGGCATGTAGCACATCTCTTTCCGCCCTCATCAAGTGACAACAAATAGTATTTTTACTCTTATTTTTACGTCAAGTGTCTGACAACAAATAATATTTTTACTCTTATTTTTACGTCAAGTGTCTGACAACAAATAGTATTTTTACTCTTATTTTTACGTCAAGTGTCTGACAACAAATAGTATTTTTACTCTTATTTTTACGTCAAGTGTCTGACAACAAATAGTATTTTTACGGCAGATCAAGAAGGGTAGACAGACACACACACATGACGCTTTTACTTCCACGCAAATCAGCTGCACTCCCTGCTGCTGCTGGTTGTTGCACCGTGCCTCCCTGGCTCGCAATGTTTTCCCACCCATGTGGCTGTGACTGTCCACGTGAAGTGAGGGTGTTTTTGAGACGTCTCAAAAACACCCTCACTTCATCAGCTGCACTCCCTGCTGCTGGTTGTTGTTGCACCGTGCCTGCCTGGCTCGCATTGTTTTCCCACCCATGTGGCTGTGACTGTCTCTTGGAGACGCCTCCAATGTCAGCACGGGGAAAGAGTGACTCACAGGATCAGTCGCAGGGCCTGCTGGTTGTTGCGGCGTGCTCCCTTGGCCCGCAACCTGCCCCCACCCATGTGACTGTGACTGCACTCCTGAGGCCTCAAGTGATAAAATTCATATTTATAGACTAACTCACAGGATCAGCCGAAGGGCCTGCTGGTTGTTGCGGCGTGCCCCCTTGGCCCGCAACCTGTCCCCACCCATGTGACTGTGACTGTAACGAATGCTGTGCGTTATTAGCAGCAGCCATTGCTGAAATTGAGTGCACATTCGATAGAGGCCCCTGGCGCTGACTGTATCTCCCCTGCTGCTGCTGCTGCTGCTGTTGCTGCTGCTGCTGTTGTTGGATTAGTCTTTGCTGCTCCTGCTGCTGCTGCACTGCTGCGGCCACCGATCGCCACCGCTCTTGCACACGAGCTACGGATGCTTGGATGGATCGCCACGTGGCGTGCAGCGATTGGCTGATGCTCGCTGGCCTGTGGCAGAGAGAGGGTGACGTGCACAGGAAGAAAGTGGAAGAGAAGGGATATAGCACAGTCCGACAACCTTATTTGGACCCTCGTGCCCTTTTGTAGCTCTGTTTCACTGAAGTGGGTTAAATGACGTGATGATAGGGATGAATCCCGGAATAAGAAGGCATGCAAACCGCAGGGAGGAGGCGGCGTCCCCAAGGGTGGTGACGGCAGCAGCGGCGATAATAATTCTCAGGCGCCAACTAAACGAGTGAGGGTAACGAGGGAGGCTCACCGCAGGGAGGAGGAGAGATCCCCTAGGCTGGTAAAGGCAGCAGCGCTGATGGGATGTCCCCCTGCAATGAACCCGGGCCGACGCACCATAGGAGCCTGATAGGTGCAGTGGTGTGGTGGGTGTGGTGGGTCTTACCGCAGGGAGGAGGAGAGATCCCCTAGGCTGGTAAAGGCAGCAGCGCTGATGGGATGTCCCCCTGCAATGAACCCGGGCCGGCGCACCATAGGAGCCTGATAGGTGCAGTGGTGTGGTGGGTGTGGTGGGTCTTACCGCAGGGAGGAGGAGAGATCCCCAAGGCTGGTGAAGGCAGCAGCGCTGATGGGATGCCCCCCTGCAATGAACCCGGGCCGACGCACCATAGGAGCCTGATAGGTGCAGTGGTGTGGTGGGTGTGGTCGGTGTGGTGGGTGTGGTGGGTGTGGTGGGTGTCGTGGGTGTGGTGGGTCTTACCGCAGGGAGGAGAGATCCCCAAGGCTGGTTAGAGTAGCAGTGGTGATGGGATGCCCCCCTGCAATGAACCCTGGCCGACGCACCATAGGAGCCTGATAGGTGCAGTGGTGTGGTGGGTGTGGTGGGTCTTACCGCAGGGAGGAGGAGAGATCCCCTAGGCTGGTAAAGGCACCAGCGCTGATGGGATGTCCCTCCGCGATGAACCCTGGCCGGTGCACGATAGGAGCCTGATGTGGTGTGGTGGGTGTGGTGGGTGTGGTGGGTCTTACCTCAGGGAGGAAAGATCCCCAAGGCTGGTAAAGGCACCAGTGGTGATGGGATGTCCTCCAGCGAGTTGACTTTTGAGTCGACTCAAAAGTCACCCCAGTAGTGATGGGATGTCCTCCAGCGAGTTGACTTTTGAGTCGACTCAAAAGTCACCCCAGTAGTGATGGGATGTCCTCCAGCGAGTTGACTTTTGAGTCGACTCAAAAGTCACCCCAGTAGTGATGGGATGTCCTCCAGCGATGAACCCTGGCCGGCGCACCATAGACGCCTGATGGGTGCGGTGGGTGTGGTGGGTGCAGTGGGTGGTGTGTGTGTGGTACTGCAGTGGGTGTGGTGGGTCTTACCTCAAGGAGGAAAGATCCCCAAGGCTGGTTAGGGCACCAGTAGTGATTGGATGTCCTCCAGCGATGAACCCTGGCCGGTGCACAATAGGAGCCTGATGTGGTGTGGTGGTGTGATGTGGTGGATATGGTGGGTGGTGAATGTGTGGGGGTGGTCAGATGGGCAGTGGGCTGTGACATACTAGCGCTGGTCGGATGCCCCCCCGCAATGAACCCTGGCCGGCACACCATCAAAGCCTGGTGGGCAAATGGGTGGTGAGTGGGTGTGTAGGTGGGAGCAGGTGAATCGGGTCTAGAGACAGCCCAGAACCGGCACACTGCAGCAGAGGGCACTGGCGGACCGGTCGGTAATGCATCCTGGCCGGCGCAGCTCATTGCCAAAGCTGGTGCTGCAGAGGGATCGGAAGCAGTTGTGGTCGGATGCCCCCCCACGATGAACCCTGGCCAGCGCACCATGGGAGCCTGATGGATGGGTGGTGGGTGGTTGAAGTGCGTGGTGGGTGGTTGCAGGGGAATATAGGCAGTCCAGAACCACTACACAGCAGTGGCCAGCAGTGGCAGGAAGGGGCTCAGCGGTGGTGGGCAGTGGGTAGTGGATGGCGGGTGCAGTGGGTGGTGGGTGGTTGCAGTGGGTAGTGGGTGGTTGCAGGGGAATATAGGCAGTCCAGAACCACTACACAGCAGTGGCCAGCAGTGGCAGGAAGCGGCTCAGCGGTGGTGGGCAGAGGGTAGTGGATGGCGGGTGCAGTGGGTGGTGGGTGGTTGCAGTGGGTAGTGGGTGGTTGCAGGGGAATATAGGCAGTCCAGAACCACTACACAGCAGTGGCCAGCAGTGGCAGGAAGGCGCTCAGCGGTGGTGGGCAGAGGGTAGTGGATGGCGGGTGCAGTGGGTGGCGGGTGGTTGCAGTGGGTGGTGGGTGGTTGCAGTGGGTGGTGGGTGGTTGCAGGGGAATATAGACAGTCCAGAACCACTACACAGCAGTGGCCAGCAGTGGCAGGAAGGCGCTCAGTGGGGGCAATCATGGGAGCTTAATCTCATGCGGGCTTCTCATGGCGTTACCCTACCACCCATCCATCATGGCTTCTCATAGCACTACCCTAGATTGAAGGGTAGGTAGGTAGGTACTCACCCGGGTAACGAGATGAATCTAGGGAACGGAATGTGGCTGGGAAGGGTGTGACTATAAAGAGGACGTAACGAGACCTTGTGTGGTGGTAATCATGGGGTTTAGGGTAGGAAGGTAAGTACTGACCAGGGCTCGCGATGACTCCAGAGAACTGAATGTGGCTGAAGAAGGTGTGACAAAAGCGAAGGCGCCACGAACATCTGGGGGGAAAGTGATGGACATAATGGGAAAGAGAGAAAGGTAACCGACATGATGTTATAAGCAATAAAAAGATGGTAGATAGAGATAAGAAGGGCGGATTATGAGCAATACCCGGAGATCGACACAAGCATTTTGAGACGTCTCAAAAGACACAAGCATAAGAGCATGCCACTGGGTTGAGCGGTGCGCAGACCAATTTTAAGTCGACTCAAGAGGAGCCTCAGAAGTGGGGAGAAAGGCAACTCACATGCTAGCCCTGAGAGCACGCCGCTAAGGTGACCAAGCAGAGAGGCGGAGGGGAGGAGCAGTTGGAACAGCACAAGGAGGACCCAAGGGTACCTGTGGAAGAAAGGGAGGGACTTTTGAGAATTGAGCTGAGAGGAGTGAGTGTGTATTAAAGCAGAGATGCAAGCAGCTGGAATAGCACGAGGAGAACCCAAGGGTACCTGTGAATTAGCGAGAAGCGAGGCAGCAATGGGATGGGATGGGATGGGATGGGATGGGATGGGATGGGATGGGATGGGATGGGATGGGATGGGATGGGATGGGATGGGATAAAATGGGCCTTTATACCACAGCAACACAGATTTGAAGGTTGACTGCTACAACACTGGTGTGTTACAGAATTTCCTTGCAAAATCTCACCATTCGGTTGGCACAGTGTGAAGAAAACATAGATACTGCATGCACGTGAATTGCATGCAAGGAAAATCTCAAAACAACTCCGATAGAAAGGCCTCAACAGAAGTCTCGCCGGGCGGTTGTCTCACTGAAGAAACAAAAGATGCTGCATGCATGGGAGTTGTGTTTTTGGGTCGAATTCAAACAAGATGCCGCATGCATGGGAGTTGCCTTAGAAAATTCTCAAAGCAACTCCACCAGTGAGTTCTTGAAACAGATCTTACCATGCGGTTGGCACAGAGAAGAAACCAAAGATGCTGCACACGGGTGAAACAGAACGCGGGGTGACACAGGGGAGGAGATACAGTGGGGAGGAGATACACGGGAGAATTTTCAAAAGTAACTCCAACTAAGAGAGTTCTCAAAAGTATTACCATGCGGTTGGCACAGTGAAGAAACCAAAGATACATGAAAAGAAACCAAACACGCGGGTGAAACACGGCGCGGGGTGACAGAACGGAGGGAAAAATCAAGGACGAAACGGAAATGCAGAGGCAAGGAGTGTAAACCACATGCAATGCACACACGGTACTGTGTCATGCCAAGAGAAACACTTGGCCTTAGGCACTGCATGACTTCAATTTAACTCAGGAGACCCCGCCATGCCAGGTCTACCACGCCATGCCAGGTCTACCACGCCGGAGGGAGCCCAGGTGGCGCTCGAGCGGGGAAGCCAGGGGGAGGAGTGTGGAGAGGCGAGGGCGGGAAACCAAGACCCCTGCACTCACCTCCTGTCTCTGCCCCCCCTGACTTGTAAGTCCAGGACGATCAATTCAAAGAGCACTCCTGAGAACCCAATGCAGCACTCGCCAGCCCACCAGCCCCACCACCCAAGCAGCAGTCCCGGCATGAAACAGAAATGCAGAGGCACGGATTGTAAACCACATGTACACGGTAAATGAGGGTGTTTTTGAGACGTATCAAAAACACCCTCATTTCACATCGTAAACCACAAGTACACGATGCTGTGTCATGCCAAGAGAAACATAGAGCCATAAACACTGCATGGCTTCTACTTTACCCGGGAGTACTTCTGAGGCGCCTCAAAAGTCTTGCTCACTGCATGGCTTCTATTTAACCCGGGAGACCACGCCAGGCCAGGTCTTCCACGGCAGGCCAGGTCTTCCACGGCAGGCCAGGTCTTCCACGCCAGGCCAGGTCTTCCACGCCAGGCCAGGTCTTCCACGCCAGGCCAGGTCTTCCACGCCAGGCCAGGTCTTCCACGCCAGGCCAGGTCTTCCACGCCAGGCCAGGTCTTCCACGCCAGGCCAGGTCTTCCACGCCAGGCCAGGTCTTCCACGCCCACCAGCCAAGCAGAAGAACCTGTTTCTTCACTCGCTCCTCTCACTGCCCCCTCCAATGTGTAAATCCAACACAATCAGCACAAAGAGCACGCCTGAAAAAAACCCACGCAGCACTCCCCGCCCCACCAGGCCCACCACCAGCACCCTAACAAGCTATGATTCTTATGCACACCTTCTTTGACTCCCCCCTCCAATCGGCAAGTCCAGCACGATCAGCGCAAAGAGCACTCCAGAGAAGCCGATGCAGCACTCTCCGCCCCACCAGCCCCACCACCCAGGCAGAAGTCCAGGCGTAAATGCCAAGGCACTGTGGATGGTGGCGTTGAGGAGGGCGAGCAGCAGCAGCGCGTGCAGCAGCCGGAGTGAGCCCAGGTGGTTCTAGTTTGGGAGGGACCTCTAGAGCCTCATGAGTAGAGTGAGAGCAGCCTGCACTCACCTCCTGTCTCTCCCCCCTGCAATCTGTAAGTCCATGATGATCAGCGCAAAGAGCAGCACTCGGCAGCCCACCAGCCCCACCACCCTAACAGCAATCCAGGCGTGAATACCAAAACACTGTGGATCATGGAGTTCAGGCAGGCGAGCAGCAGCAGCGCGTGCAGCAGGCGCAGGGAGCCCAGGTGCCCTTCTAGTATAGGGAGAGGAGACCTGTACTCACCTCCTTTGACTTCCCCCTCCGATATGCAAGTCCATGACGATCAGCGCAAAGAGCACTCCTGAGAACCCAATGCAGCACTCGCCAGCCCACCAGCCCCACCACCCTAACAGCAGTCCAGGCATAAACGCCAAGGCACTGTGAACGGCGGCATTAAGAAGGGCGAGCAGCAGCAGCGCGTGCAGCAGGCGCAGTGAGCCCAGGTGGCGCTCGAGAGGGGAAGCGAGAGGAAGGAGTGTGGAGAGGTTGAGTGCGATGTGCAGGAGTCCTTTGTGGAAGAATATGGAGGAGAGGGCGCGGTAGACTGGGAGAGGGAGGAGGAGGAAGTGAGGGGGGAGAGGGGGGAGAGAAGGGAACACAGGGGTTAGAGAAAAGAGGAATTGGGAGTGTGGAGAGGTTGAGTGTGATGTGGAGGAGTCCCTTGTCGAAGAATATGGAGGAGAGAGCGCGGTAGACTGGGAGGAGCGGGGGGGAGAATGGGAGAGGAAAGATAGAAAGAAGAGGGGAGAGACGAGAGGGGGAAGAGAAGAGGGGGACACAGGGAGTAGAAAAGAGACAAGAATCGGAAAGAAGAGAGGTTGAGTACGGTGTGAAGCGTGATCGCAACAGGAAAAGAGGGCGAGCAATGAGAGAAAGGCACGTGGGAAAAAGGAAACCGGTGTAGGACATGTGATCAAGATGCCTCTAGTGAAAGATGATGTATTAATCAGTGTGGCAAGCAGCCACAAAGTGTAAGAGGGTGAAGGGCTGTGTGAGAAGCTTCCAGCCAAACGTCATTCTCAAAACCAGCCATTCATTCTCAATCTTTCCACGCAATGCATCATGGCCAATAGGAGTTCGATGGTATCAGCCCTTCTCTGTATTGCAATATCTGAAAGAACGTACTCATACGTTGCGATCGCCGCGCTCTCTCTACAGTCCTCGATGGCACCGGATCCGGCCTTCGCCGTCTATGTTTTCATCACCGTTTCTGCTTCTGCCATCTGTGCTTCCGCACAAATGGTGAAAGCATAGATGGCGCAAGCCGGAACCGGTACCATCAGGGACATCTATCAGAGATATCTCTAGCCCAGCTAGCAGTGGTGAATTGAGTGTACCAAACCCACCTGTCCGCTACTGACAGCTCCAGCACAGACCGGTACCATCAAGGACATCTATTGTAGACATCCATTGGAGACATCTCTTGCCCAGCCAGCACTAGTGAATGGTGACATCGCAGTTTTCTACCAGTCCTCGATGGCACCGAACCGGTACCATCAGGACATCTATTGTAGACATCTCTTGCCCAGCCAGCACTGGTGAATGAGTGCACCAAGCCCACCGCACCGCGAGAAGCAGACCTCCCTGAAGCAAGCTGTAACCAGAGGCACGAACAGCCACCAGTGGTGAGCGTCCTAAGCCCTGCTTAGTGCTGAGCTTGCCAGTGCAGCATAGCAAGGGAGGGCGAGAAGCAGACCTCCCTGAAGCTGTCATAGCCAGTCAGCAGGTCGACCACGAACACAGCCACACAGACAGCGAAGACTGAGAGTGCGTGAGAACAGAGACGGTTACGAGGGCTGAGACGGTTACGAGGGCTGAGGCGGTTACGAGGGCTGAGGCGGTTACGAGGGCGATCTCACCTTGCCAATGCAGAAGGGCGAGGGAGGGCGAGAAGCAGACCTCCCTGAAGCTGTCATAGCCAGTCAGCAGGTCGACCACGAACACAGCCACACAGACAGCGAAGACAGAGGCTGTTATCAATGGCACGGCCAGCCACCACTGGTGGATATGCGTGCCTATGCTGGCCTGGGACGGGAAGGGAGGGAGGGAATGGGGGAGAGGATGAGGTGGGGAAGGGACACACACAGACGACCACGAACACAGCCACACAGATGGCGAAGACGGAAGCTGTAACCAGAGGCACGGCCAGCCACCACTGGTGGATGTGCGTGCCTATGCTGGCCTGAGGGTGGAGGGGGAAGAGACGGACGGTAGGGTGAGGGAAGGAATGTGCGGTTACCACCAACACACAGCCGCACAGACAGCCACACAGATGGCGAAGACGGAGGCTGTTATTAGAGGCACGGCCAGCCACCACTGGTGGATGTGCATGCCTATGCTGGCCTGGAGGCGGAGGGAGGGAGATAGGGAGGGGATGGGGGAGACGATGGGGGGAGGGGAGAGGAAACGCCACCACCACACACACACAACCACTCAGACGGCGAATACTTAGGTTGATATCAGAGGCACGGTCAGCCACCACTGGTGGATGTGCGTGCCTGTGCTGGCCTGGTGGGAGGGGATATGGGAGGGACGAGGGGCCACCACCACACGGACACAGCCACACAGACAGCCATACAGATGGGGAAGACAGAGGCTGTAACCAGAGGCACGGCCAGCCACCACTGGTGGATGTGCGTGCCTGTGCTGGCCTGGTGGGAGGGGATATGGGAGGGACGAGGGGCCACCACCACACGGACACAGCCACACAGACAGCCATACAGATGGGGAAGACAGAGGCTGTAACCAGAGGCACGGCCAGCCACCACTGGTGGATGTGCGTGCCTGTGCTGGCCTGGTGGGAGGGGATATGGGAGGGACGAGGGGCCACCACCACACGGACACAGCCACACAGACAGCCATACAGATGGCGAAGACAGAAGCTGTAACCAGAGGCACGGCCAGCCACCACTGGTGGATGTGTGTTCCTGTGCTGGCCTGGTGGGAGGGGATATGGGAGGGACGAGGGGCCACCACCACACGGACACAGCCACACAGACAGCCATACAGATGGGGAATACAGAGGCTGTAACCAGAGGCACGCCCAGCCACCACTGGTGGATGTGCGTGCCTATGCTGGCCTGTGTGGGGAGGGATGGGGTGAAAGGTGGAGGATGGGGGATGAGGGAAGGGATCAAGGACTATCACCACACGTACAGCCATACAGACAGTCACACGGATGGCAAAGACCGAAGCTGTTACCAGAGGCACGGCCAGCCACGACTGGTGGATGTGCGTGCCTATGCTGGCCTGTGGGGTGGAGGACGGGTGGAAAGATGGTGGATGGGGGATGAGGGAAGGGATCAAGGACTATCACCACACGTACAGCCATACAGACAGTCACACGGATGGCAAAGACCGAAGCTGTTACCAGAGGCACGGCCAGCCACGACTGGTGGATGTGCGTGCCTATGCTGGCCTGTGGGGTGGAGGACGGGTGGAAAGATGGTGGATGGGGGATGAGGGAAGGGATCAAGGACTATCACCACACGTACAGCCATACAGACAGTCACACGGATGGCAAAGACCAAAGCTGTTACCAGAGGCACGGCCAGCCACGACTGGTGGATGTGCGTGCCTATGCTGGCCTGTGGGGTGGAGGACGGGTGGAAAGATGGTGGATGGGGGATGAGGGAAGGGATCAAGGACTATCACCACACGTACAGCCATACAGACAGTCACACGGATGGCAAAGACCGAAGCTGTTACCAGAGGCACGGCCAGCCACGACTGGTGGATGTGCGTGCCTATGCTGGCCTGTGGGGTGGAGGACGGGTGGAAAGATGGTGGATGGGGGATGAGGGAAGGGATCAAGGACTATCACCACACGTACAGCCATACAGACAGTCACACGGATGGCAAAGACCGAAGCTGTTATGAGTGGCACGTCCAGCCACCACTGGTGGATGTAGGGAAAAGACGACGGATCGGATCAAGCACAGCCACCACACATACAGCCAAACACACAGGTGTCGCGAAACTCATACAGGTCTCGAGAAACTCCTACAGGTGTCGCGCGAAACTCCTACAGGTGTCGCGAATCTCCTACAGGTTTGCTACAGGCAGGAATCGCAGACCTCTGATGTGACGTTGGACCGCATCGCGTCTCCACCACCGTTGTTTTCCGCGATCCGGCGACAGGGATAATCTGACAAAAGGCCAAGAGAGAATCTGACGGCCGGCAGAATCTGATACGTGAAACCGTGATCCTTGAAGCGCTACCGCAAAAAGGGGGTGTCGAAAAACGCGAACAGAAACGCTACGGACTCAGGTCAGAGCGAACTCGAGGTTGCGAGGTTGCGGGCAACGGATAGCAAACCAAGCGCTTCGGCGACAAACGAAGCGGCACCTGAGCAGAACTTGCTATGGGCAAAACGTGTGCCAGACAGATGATTGTCGGGAAAGTATGCCAATGGTAACATACATGGGGCTCTTTAACGCGTACAGTAACTATTACAGTATATTTTCACACGTTTGGTAACTCATTTCACGCAATTGGTAACTTAGCACAGGCGAATGATCACGCGAATGGTAACTAGATGAAACTCCCGCCGAAATGATCCTGACTAAGAGGCATTTGTTAATTTGAAAGATTTTACCACAGTTACGACTGTTATTGCTTATTGTAAGGAAAATTCCTTTTCCTTACTTCGCGTCCCTGCTCAGCGCGTACACCACTGTTCCCACCCACAGCACCCAACAGTAATCCGTTACCACTCGCGACACTCGCTTCGACACCATTCCCGCCACCATTCACGACGCGACCCAACCTCACGGTTCGGTTGGTAACCCGCGCTCCGGACCTCCGCCTCGACACTTTCCCAACCTCGGCACCAGGCCCGTCGCGCACCCCATTTTCACACATTACCGTTACCACTGTAGTTTCGCTATATATTCTTCGCTCATGCCTTCGCTGATTGTACGCTTGCTTCGATAGTGCAATTCTCGTTCGTTCACTCAATTGCACTCGTAACACTTGGTATTCAGAGCCTACGATCTCTTCTCGGACCGCACCCACACCTTCGTTTTCCCCACTATCTCAATTTTTGGGGGGGGTAGACGTCTCTCAGCGACACAGCACCGCCGCTCGTAGTGCTCTCTCGTAAGCACGCACGGCCACGACCGAGGCTCTCGCTGAGCTTGCCCGACACCCCCACCATGGCCGAATTCAATCTCGCGACCTTGACGCAGGAGCAGCTCGACCGTCTGGTGCGCCAAGTTGAAGATTCGGCACTCGAAATCGCGACGCTCACAGCGGAACGTGACTCCGCGCGTCAGCAATCTTCGGTGAACACTCCAGCAGCACCACACGCACCAACAAATGCACCTGCACAATCGGACGAGCCAATCATCATCTCGTCCGGTACACCAACACAACACGACAGCGTGGGACAGCGCTCAGGTGCAGCCAGTGATAGCGCCGCCCAACCAATGCCTGGCATGGGAGGAAACAGGGTTGCGCCAAGCCCGCGGGAGCCTCGCGAAGCCCGTCGGCACGTGGAGTTTGCAGCGACAAGTGGCGGACAGACCATTATGGCACCAATGCCACTCAAGCCGCAACGCCCGCCCTACTTCGACCCGAGCCAGCGTGGAGGTCCGACGGTTCAATCGTGGGTCTTCACGATGAACGTCTTCTTCGACGCAAATTACGTCGAGTCGGACGCAGCGAAGATTCGGTATGCCGTTTCGCTGCTAAGGGGCCCCGCCATGGACTGGTGGCGAGTCATCGTGACGTCGCCACGCGCCTACGAGCCACCGTCGCAAGAGGAAGGGCCCACGGGTCCAGCTGTCACCTGGAGTTCGTTTTTGCGAGACCGCCCAATACAGCACGTGGGATGCGTGGTGCGCAGGGCTTCGGGCGCGCTTCGAGCCAATCGCGGCTTCTATTTCGGCGCGTCAGAGGTTGCGCACTTGGCGGCAGCTCGGGTCGGTTCAAGATTACACGAGCGGTTTTCTCGCACTTTGCGAGCAAGTCGGCTACATGTACGAAGCGGAGCGGGTGGACCGTTACGTCGGAGGGCTGAAGCCGGATATCTCGCACGAGATCATGCTGCGCGGACTCTCGAACTTCAACGAGATTCTCGCGCTCGCCAAGAAAATCGACATCCTACGCCGACCGAGACCGGGGTCCTACTACGGACATCGTCCTCGGGGACCGACCGAGCACGCCACTGTACACGCCGTTGCGACGAATGCAGCTGCTGCGCCGTTTAAGGGGCGCTGCTTTGCTTGCAACAGGCCGGGCCATCGCAAGAGCGAATGCCCAGAGGAGCTGAGGCGCCGCGGAGCAGAGCAGGGGAGGGAGTCTCAGAGGCAGGGAAACGCCAGCAGTCAGTAGAAGTTGGGCCAACTACTGACGAGACTGCCTGCTCGCCCAACCACACCGACCCTCACCGAGTCACAGTACCGATTCACGCTATCGATCGGGCTCGGATGAATAAGGAGGGTACAGCGACGGATTGCCCAGTACTGATTCACGGGAAAGTACAGGGAGCAGCAGTAAAGATCTTTATAGACGGAGGAGCAAGCCACAGCTTAGTTAATACCGCAACCGCACGGAAGCTGCGACTGACACTTAGTCGGTGTTTACCAGAAATAGATGCACGCTTAGTAGACGGAACGCCGCTGGCCATACGGGAAAAGGTGGAGAGAGTAAAAGTCCGCTGCGGGGGGAATTTTGGGTTTACACAGGAAATGCTCGCGACGACATTGGATGGGCACGACATTTTACTGGGACGTGATTGGCTGCGACGGTATAACCCGCGAATTGACTGGACGACGGGTAGCTGTACTGTGCGAAGTAGCGGTAACTGGGTCGTGCTACCTCGCTGGCAGTCGCCCGAGTCTTCAACGGTCCACGTCAACGCCATCACGATGAAACGGGCTGTCGCCGCTGGAGCTGACGTGTACGCAGTGGATATAGCGTTGGTAGGAGAAGCAGAGCAGCCGAGCGATTTTCAGAAACTGTTGGCAGCGGTACCGTCCGAACTACAGGAACTGTTGAAACGGTACCCGGGGATTTTTCCGGACGATTTACCAGAAGGACTGCCACCTCAGCGAGCACACGACCACCGCATAGAGTTAGAACCCGGGGCACAGCCAACCGTACAACGACAGTTCCGACTGACACAGCCCGAGCTCGATGAGCTGAGGAAGCAGTTAGACTACTTGTTAGAGAAAAAAATCATCCGACCGAGCTCGTCACCGTTCGCCGCACCGATACTGTTCACACCGAAAAAAGACGGGGGGTTTCGCATGTGCATCGATTACAGAGCACTGAACCGGGTAACAGTCAAGTCACGATACCCCATTCCCCGCGCTGACGAACTGATCGACCAGCTGCGAACAGCACGGGTTTTTTCGAAAATAGATTTACGGGGAGGTTACCACCAGATTCGGGTCGAACCATCGGACTTCGTAAAAACAACATTTAGAACTAGGTATGGGTCATTCGAATACACCGTGATGCCATTCGGGCTGACCAACGCACCGGCAACTTTCCAGATGACCATGAATGAGGCGTTTAGGCCGCTCTTAGATAAATGCGTGATAGTTTACCTCGACGACATCCTAGTTTACAGTCGGGATAAGCAGCAGCACTTAGCAGATCTGGAAGCAGTATTTAAAGTTTTAGCCGAGCACAGACTACTGACCAAGGGTTCCAAGTGCGAGTTCTTTCAAGACAGGCTAGAGTTTTTAGGGCACGTTATTTTGGAGGCTGGGGTTGAAATCGACCCGAAGAAGTTGGACACAGTAAAAGCGTGGCATCCCCCGACAAACATCACGGGGCTACAGGGTTTTTTAGGGTTCGTTAATTATGTGCGTCGGTTCGTCCCCGACATGGCACAATTAACAGCCCCACTGACGGATCTGCTACGCAAGGGGGTCACTTTTACGTGGGGGGAGAAAGAGCAGGCTGCCTTCTCTGCCCTGAAAACCGTCCTCTGCTCCCCGCCCGTACTGCGCATTGCTGACCCACACCGCCCTTTCGAAGTTATTACAGACGCAAGCGACATCGCCATCGGAGCCGTACTGCTACAGGATTTCGGCAACGGCCTACAGCCTATCGCATACGAGTCACGAAAACTGCATCCGCCCGAAAAAAAACTACCCGATACACGACCGCGAAATGCTCGCGATCGTGCATGCGTTCAAAGTGTGGCGCTGTTACTTGACCGGCGCAGACGTGACAGTACGGACAGACCACCGATCACTACAGTACCTCCGCGCACAGCCCCACCTCAACCCACGACAGATTCGCTGGCTCGATTTCCTCGAGTCCAACTTCCACTACACGGTCACCTACAAAAAGGGAGCCTCGAACATCGCCGACGCACTAACCCGACCCACTGCCCAGATCCACGCGATACTACTCGCCCAGACCAGCCCGCTACTGACAGGACTATTTACCCACGGATACCAAACGGACCCATTCTTCACAGGAGGAAATCCGCAGCAGTTCGCAGCAGCAAAAGGAGTCTATTACGTAAAAGTCGGGACCGATCGCATCTGGGTACCAGGGTACACACTGCTACGGGAATTACTATTACAGGAGGCACACGACGGAGTTACCTCAGGACATTTCGGGGTAGAGAAAACACGGCAGCAGCTGCAGCGGTATTATTACTGGCCTGAAATGTTGACCGACGTTCAACGACACGTGGCATCGTGTCCCACTTGCCAGATCATGAAGTCATCACGGAAGCGGCCGGCAGGACAGTTGCAGCCGATTCCACCCCCAGAGCGTGCTTGGCAGCAGGTGACGATGGATTTCGTCACGGGGTTACCGGCCGGAACGAGTGGGAAATGACGCGATCCTGGTCGTCGTCGATCGACTGACGAAAATGGCACACTTCGCAGCCTGCAAGAAATCAATCACAGCCGAAGAAACAGTCCGCTTCTTCATCTCCACCGTTGTACGACTGCACGGGATACCAGCATCGATCATCAGCGACAGAGACACGAAATTCACCAGCAACTTCTGGCGGAACCTGTGGCAGCAGTTCGGCACGCGACTACAATTCAGTTCATCGTACCACCCCGAAACCGACGGACAGACAGAACGAACAAATCAGACCATGGAACAGCTCATCCGGGCCAC